CTGAAATGCTCTCACACACACTACTGAAACGCTCTCACACACACAACTGAAATGCTCTCACACACACTAGTGAAATTTTAGCTCTCACACACACTACTGAAACGCTCTCACACACACTACTGAAACGCTCTCACACACACTACTGAAACGCTCTCACACACACTACTGAAATTTTAGCTCTCACACACACTACTAAAACGCTCTCACACACACAACTGAAATGCTCTCACACACACTAGTGAAATTTTACCTCTCACACACACTACTGAAACGCTCTCACACACACTACTGAAACGCTCTCACACACACTACTGAAACGCTCTCACACACACTACTGAAATGCTCTCACACACACTACTGAAACGCTCTCACACACACTACTGAAATTTTACCTCTCACACACACTACTGAAACGCTCTCACACACACTACTGAAATTTTACCTCTCACACACACTACTGAAACGCTCTCACACACACTACTGAAATTTTAGCTCTCACACACACTACTAAAACGCTCTCACACACACAACTGAAATGCTCTCACACACACTAGTGAAATTTTACCTCTCACACAAACTACTGAAACGCTCTCACACACACTACTGAAACGCTCTCACACACACTACTGAAACGCTCTCACACACACTACTGAAATTTTAGCTCTCACACACACTACTAAAACGCTCTCACACACACAACTGAAATGCTCTCACACACACTAGTGAAATTTTACCTCTCACACACACTACTGAAACGCTCTCACACACACTACTGAAACGCTCTCACACACACTACTGAAACGCTCTCACACACACTACTGAAATGCTCTCACACACACTACTGAAACGCTCTCACACACACTACTGAACTTTTACCTCTCACACACACTACTGAAACGCTCTCACACACACTACTGAAATTTTACCTCTCACACACACTACTGAAACGCTCTCACACACACTACTGAAATTTTACCTCTCACACACACTACTGAAACGCTCTCACACACACTACTGAAATGCTCTCTCACACACTACTGAAACGCTCTCACACACACTACTGAAACGCTCTCACACACACTACTGAAATGCTCTCACACACACTACTGAAATTTTACCTCTCACACACACTACTGAAACGCTCTCACACACACTACTGAAACGCTCTCACACACACTACTGAAAATCCAACGCATTTCAGTTGACCAGGAAGGCATTTCAGTTAAACAGGAAGGCGTTTCAGTTGAACAGGAAGGCATTTCAGTTAAACAGGAAGGCGTTTCAGTTGAACAGGAAGGCATTTCAGTTAAACAGGAAGGCGTTTCAGTTAAACAGGAAGGCGTTTCAGTTAAACAGGAAGGCATTTCAGTTGAACAGGAAGGAGTTTTAGATGAACAGGAAGTTGTGTCCAGACCAGGAAAGTGAAGGAAAAAGTGGTACACTTCAAACCACTACACAGATGTCTACTCAGCAACCTGCTAGTAGCCTAAGTGAAGCAGCCGCATTACTCAACAGTATATTATCCTCAGCAGAGACCATCAGAACTTTGTCAAATGCCACAGTCGTGGGGCAGCAACCTGTTGCAAGTACCAGTGTGGATGGACTGGATAGTCACTTAACATCCCTCTTTCCCTCACGTCAACGTAGCAGCTTGCCCATGCCAGCGACATCTACAGTCAGGAGAGAATGTGCACCTGCACCATGTTATCAAACTCGGCAATGCTTCGGCAGCTGGACATCAGGCACCAGAAGAAAAAGGTAGTTACAAAGTTTAATGAGTTTGTATTCACTTGCCTGAAATGGGGCCATATGTAATAGTCTGATATTTAATAATATACTGCAGGGCTCGCAAAATCGCTAGCCCGACGTCCCGGGGCTAGCGATTTTTCCAGGCTACCAAAATCTATCTCTGTCCTGCCCGTCGGGCTATCGTAGGAAGGAAAAATATATGTCTATGCTTTTGCATTCTTTCGGAAATGTAGCTGGGTAATTATGTCATTGGCATCGGTGAGCCACTGTCAATATGTGACATATTGAAATCGCGTTTGAATTTGCGCTTGTTTTTTGCTTTCACTTTGCAATTATGTGTTATGCAACTGTGTATAGAGAGCGACAGTACTGACTGGTGAGTGATGATAATTTGCGCACCAATTCCTCTGACATCGTCTTATCAATCGTTAGCTTACTATGCAAACATGACAAGTGAAATCTCCCGCAGCTTAAACATGTGAGAGGTTGATTGCGCAGAGAATCGCTGAGCGTTATGTGTGTGTGTGTGTGTGTGTGTGTGTGTGTGTGTGTGTGTGTGTGTGTGTGTAAAAGCAGCAGGATTTATATTTTAGTTCTGCTGAGCCAAATAAGACAGGTCAGGGTGAAGAAGTGACAGCCAAAGAAAAACTTACCACAAAACGGAAAAGTTATGACAAATCAGACTATAAGGCAAAAAGAAAGTGCAGCTTTATGGTTTCATGGACAAAATAATTTCTGTGGCTGCAATGACGAGCTAAATAACCAGGGCTGCACATAAGTGGTCCGCAGGTGCGCATTCGCTGTCAAAACAAAAGACACGCACAAGATAAGAAGTTGCAACGCGTGTTTGCGTACATAGGATTTTCTGGAGGAGGACAGACATTTGTTTAGAACTCTTAAAGATGTCGAAGAAGCTCCTTTAAGCAATTACTTTGGTTTTCCTCCACCTCCAAAGAAATGTCAGAAGGAGTCCGAACCACAAAAGAAGCACGTATTCTCGGAAAAGTATAAAAAAAGTATATAAAATTAACCCTTATGTTTGCCTAACTACAACAATTTTGTCTATGAAAGCATTCTGTGTAGGGGTTTGGATAGTGTTCTGCTGTCTGCATCTCAGTATTATTAGTTATCACTTGCTGTTGTTTATGGTATCTAATATTTATATTTCAGAGCTATGGCCCAGCAGCATGACCATTTCAACAAAGATGTTATACTACTTCCAACTCCATCATGGGGAGTAGTGTGCAAACAAGGTTCGAAATTATGGTTACACAAACATGGGCACATCCTCAGTGCTTTTGAATTCCAGAAGACCTGGGACAACCAAACTGTCGTGAAACACCTCAAGGAAAGCTTTGGTGAACGCCTTCCAGAGGATGTCAGGTAAAATACTATTGTTTATTGTTACTGTGTGTATTCATGTAATGACTTGTACTTAAAGATAATATACCAAAGTAAAGAAGTTTAAAATATCATTCATCATTATAAAAACATATGACTATACCAGTAGAATTTAAGTCATAAAAGCATACACACAAACAGAACAATATATAATAAAATATTTAACTAATACTTAAAATATTTAACTAATTAGCAATTGCTGTTGTCCCTATTTATTTTTTGTAGCCTCGAGTTTCTAATGGCTTGTGGCAATAAGCTGGTGTCTCCAAAGCTCCAAGTTGGTCAGGAGCTGAATGGGATGCTGATCCTAAAGGTTTTTAAAACCAAAGCCCTCTATGTAAGGCCATCAAGGACACTTTTAGTAAGTTACTAAAAGAATGAAAAGTAATCATGATTTGGGAAAAAACATGTCAACAATTGGGCTTCTAACAAAATAGAATATATTTATTTAAAACAAGTGTTTGGGAGCAATCAATATGGATATTTCTTATTTTAATCTTTTTAAGATAAGCTATAATTACTTGCTTTTGATATATGTTTTTGGTCTTTTTCTGTTGAAGAGTGAATCAGATGAAGACAAAGATCCACATCAGCTCCAAATCAGCATTAAGCAGTTGTGCAACTGATAAGGACAGTGACAATGATTATTTTGAAGTTGATAGTTCAAAAATCCAACAAGACATGAGCAGCCAAGTCACTACAAGGTTAAGAAGTCATGTTAAAGGTGATAACCCTGGCACTAGCACAGTGATGAAGAAGATGATACTGGGACTAGGGCTGGGCGATATGACCCAAAATTCATATCTCGATATTTTTTAGCTGGATGGCGATATAAGATATATATCTCGATATATCTTTTTTTAAAGCCATAAAGTAAGAACAAAAAGAGAGTTCTTAGTCAAAGCTGTGTCCCAGATGTCACACAGGCACTTTTATTAACATAGAGCAGATGTACATAAAATTTACTCAAAAATAAATTAAGAGCATTTATTAAATAATAATGCTCCATAAATAAAAGAAAACAATGTTGTTTTTGTGCATAACAAAAAGCTCACAAATGTGCAGTCAAAATGTAAAGTAAAAGACGAGCACTATAACAAAGACAGATTTCACAGCTGCTCTGTTCCCAACTTGTACTGCGTGACTGACAGCCTGGAGTTTGTAATCCGCTTCGCAACCACGTCTCTTAACAGGTGCCATTTATAGTCCTTATACACAGTAAGGTAATATTACGTTGAAGCACAATACGTATCACTCCGCGAGGCTCAGCCGTAATGCTCCGACAATCCATCAAGCGGTGCAGCTCCGTAGCTTACCAAAGTCGTACTAAAACATTTTTTGACAGATTGCTGAGCGCCGTGTTCCACATAAAATCGGTTCGCGGCCATCAAGCACAACCAGAATTCATACATAAGGCGCGCTGTCAACTTTTGAGAAAATGAAAGGATTTTAGTCCGTGCAGCACCTCTGGGCTGCATGGCGTTAGCGTGGTTAGCTCGTTAGTGTGGTTAGCTAGCTAACACGTTGACGCCGTCCAGCCCCACGCACGGGGCGATGCGCAGTAACTCGTTAACGGAGATTTGCCGTGTCCATCTTGTCGCTTCCTGCAGGTGAAGCGATGGGGAAGGAGGGGGAGTTGTGTTCAGTGAAGGAGAGGCGAGGCCGAGTAACGTTGCATAAAGACGAAAGTGGACGAAAGAAAGGCAAACTTGCGGCTCCGCAAGTATAATTATAACGTAACATAGACTATATCGATATAAAGGATATGGTCACATCTTATATCTCGTATAAAAATATATCGATATTTTTTAAAAACTCGATATATCGCCCAGCTCTAACTGGGACCAACTGTATTCGAAGGAGTGTTGGTAAAAGGCAACGAGCAAAGCAAGGAAGTGATGGGAACAGCATTTGTGATGAAGGCTACATGGCAAGAAGTGATGACAAACCTAGCACAAGCAGTCACAGCAGAGATTTCAATGCAAGAAGTGAAGACATCCCTGCCATGAGCGTTAATGATGAAGATTATTCTTCATATTTAACTCTCGTGGCATCGCTTTCTGGCGATTCTTCAGATGATGAGGATTTAAATCAAGCTATAATTGCGAGCTTGGAGAATCAGATGTGAGTAACAAACATACAGAATTTGAGTTTGAGACATAATTTGGGCTTTCCAGAATTGTCAAATCAATATAAACCTTTAAAGCTTTAACTCTCTATGATCAGTGTGACACATATTCTCAAATTCTGTAACATGACTACATGGCTGATATATTTTATTTTCTGTTTTATTTTCTTTTTTTAGTGCAGAAAAAGTCCCTGTTCAAGAGATACTGCTGGAACTATCAAGCAAAATTAGCACAAAACAGCAGTGCAAATTTAATATAAATCGCTCTGCTGTGTGGGAGGGAGCCTTGCGTGGTTTTCAAAGGCTATCTTATGATCCCAACTTGATGATCTGTGTGAAATTCTCAGATGATATGGGGAAAAATGAGGAAGGGGTTGATTTAGGTGGGCCAAGGAGGGAATTCTTGAGACTATTGATGGACACCATTGCCAGGTCAGCCATGTTTGAGGGGAAAGAAAACTGCAAGAACTTGGCTCTTGACAGTACTGGTAATTACCTATTTTTCTAAGATTAATAGTGGGAACTGTTTAACTGATATTTATTTTTACAGGCAACATTACTGACAATTTTGCTTTTCCTTTTATTCTGTTGCTTTGCAGCTCTCAGAGGGGACTGGTACTACATCTCTGGGAGAGCCATTGCAGTGAGCTTGGTACATGGTGGTCCACCACCTAACTTTCTGTCACCAACAGTATTTTCCCTTCTGGTTGGAAATTCAGCAAATCCAGCCCTGGAAGACATAGCTGACCTGGAACTCTTTGAAAAAGTCCGAAAGGTCTCTATATGTTTATTTTATAAATCTTATAGTGAATTGAAAATAGTTTGTGTTCCAGTTTTCTTTTGTAGGGAATGTTTATCCGGATCAGTCTGGCCATTGCTGAATGCCAAGTTTTTATATTTTGCTGCTATATTAAACTAAGATTCAGTAGATAAGGGTAGACGAAAGAGTATATTTTATCATTTTTTAAGCACATTGTAAACATATTAAAAAAATATGTGTAGTCATTTGACTTCCAATGTACGCGCAGGCATATTGTGATTGTGTAGACCACTGGTGGCTGGGTTCCTTCTAATAGGTTATAAGACTACTGAGTAACTTCCATAACAAGCCCTTCCTCTGCTCTTTGTGATGCTAGATATCTCAAAGTACAACCCTTGAGGACCTTGAAAAGTCAAAAGAACCTCTGCTTGATTACTTGGCCAATGCAGGATGCCTGAGGCCTATGCGTTCACTAAGAGACAGGGATCTGCTGGTACATGATATTGTCATGTTTCAGGTCATCCACAGGGTTCAAGGTCCATTTCAAAGGTATTTTGGTATTCTGTGTTTTTCAGATTAATTAAAATGTGATAAAAATCTTACCTATTAATCAAAATGGCCAGTTAATAACCTAGTATAACTGATTGTGCCAAATTGATAATATACAATTAACTTAGAAGCATGAAATTGCAGAATTATTGAATAAAATTTCTTTGTGCTGTTTATCCAGATTTTGTGAAGGTCTGAAAACTCTTGGGGTTCTCGAGAAAATGAGGCATCCAGACAGTTTTCGCCCTCTGTTCTGCTATGAGCCACATATGCTGACTGCTGACCAGGTGGATGATCTTTTCAACATTCATCTATCTCCAGAAAGAAGCAACAGAAGAGCTGCTGAGGAGACAGTTGTTACCTTCTGGAGAGACTATCTCCAAGATGCAGAAGGTAATTGTCACTTTAGTGCACAATAAATAGATGTAACGATTTATAGGTTAGCATTTCTGAAATCTTTATTTTAAATAACATATTCATATAACAATAACACCACATTACCCTCTTGGTTGTAGTAACATTTTTACATAGTTCTTTGAGACTATTGAAAGATGAAAAGCATGCTCTATAGTCATTGCAATAACAGTCATTAAGATTCTTGCTTTAGATTTGTACTCACTGACAATTTATGTTGGCCAAATGAAATAACCTTTTAACACTTTTTTCCTTCTCTGTTTTATGCAGAAGAAGAAGGACCTTCCAAATTACAGAAGATATTGGCCTTTGCAACTGGAGCAACTGCGGTGCCACCTATTGGCTTTTCTCCAGCACCCTCGATTGAGTTCATTCATAGAGGAGACGATGACTTCTCTTCTACACCAATTTTCCCTCTTGCCAACACGTGTGTTAACTGCATTAGGCTGCCACTGCATGTTTCATACCAGCTGTTCAAGGAGAAGTTTGATTTTGCATTAGGTAACACTTACGGCTTTGGCAGGGTATGAACACATTATGCTGGAGGAGTTTGCGTGTTTCTCTTTTGTATTGGTCTCTCTTTTGATTCAAAGTGAGTATTGAGTATTAACTTGTTAAGGTTTTAATATTTCCAAATTTACCTGCTTCAGTCAAATTGATGTTTTAAGACATCAATTTGACAAGAAGTGATTGTTCTTCAGGATTCATACAGGTAGATACCAATTGTTTAACAGCACGTCAGAAGTTAATTTAGATTGTTGAGTTTGAATATACAAAATTTGTGTCACTTTACTCATTTCATGTGTATGTCCATCGGTTTTTGATTTGGTTGTCTTTGTGTCTGTTTATTCTTCTGCCTGTGTCAGTTTCTGTTTGACAACAGAGCTGTCATTTTATCATTTTAAAGAAAATGGTTTCAGTATGTTAGTTTCGATCACATATGTTTTCTGAAATGTTTTTTTTATATATCTTTTTTTTATTTTTTGCAAAATATTTTATTTAATGTAGAAGGTGTAAAAGTGAAGAAAACACATCTATTCCATGATTTCCATCATTTTCTAATGGATTCACTTGTTGAATTATGTTCATTGCAGTCTCATTTATGTTGATGTCAATAGCTGGAATATTGACATTATTGTTTGTTTGAAGTTCTGGTAATGGCCCTTCTTCATCAACGCCATAATAGTTATCAACATGAAAAATGTCATTTATAAACGACAGGATTCCCACATTGTTTGTGACACCTGTATGCCACAGCTGAAGAGGGGTCTGTCCTCCTTGTGTAGAGAGACCATGGTTGTTCCACTGATTGACAAATTCCGTTAATGCTCTTTCAATCCTTGGCAAATAAACATAATGCAGACAAAAAAGATGTAGCTCATTCAGTGAATCCAACATACCCTGTTCTTCCATAAAGTTAAAGATATTTATAAAGTGTCTTGATACAACTCTGTTGAGTTCTGCCCACAGTCTTTCAATTCTTTGGTTATGTACTGAAACACCTGTAATAACACTGCCTACTCCTCTTCTCTGTAACATAAAACGAGCAACCTGTATATTTTCCATACCATGATCACACCTGACCCTTAAGGGAAAACCAAAGTTTTGTATTCCTTCCAAAAATAATGACAAGACACTTGAGGCTCTGTTATTGGATAAGCAACGTAAGTATATGATAGTTCGGCTGAAGCCATCAACACAGCCATGCAGGACCAAGCGCCATCTAATCAATTTGTGGTTGCCGTCAAAATGCCTGTTGAGAGATCAGAAAGCATTACTACAGTTCCACATGTTTGTTCATATTATTTAGTAGTGAATTCCTGACCCTGTACTTAAACAAAAACTAGAGGTTTCATTTTGTACATTTACTTCAACAACAGCACACCTCTGTCTCTCACACACACACACACACACACACGTGCACACACATACACACAGTGGCATAAAATGTCTTTTTCCACACTACGTTTACCTGGCACAATTGATGTTAGAGATTAAAATTGTGATGTAAAATAAAGGATTAAACAACTCAACAGTATATACATTAGACAACATCTAAATTGATGTACTATGAATCCCCCAAATATTTAACATACTTATATCAATTTCAGTTTTTTTGGTTATTGTTATTTTTTTATTATTATTATCTTATGCTGATCATATAGATTAACTTCAGTAATGTTTTGAATGAAGGACCATTAATTTTGATGTATTGTGTTAATACTTTTAAACACAAGGCCTGATCATTTGTTTCAAACCAGTGAACTTACCATAAGTGGTTGGGGGCCTGAACACTATAGATCCTTCGCCTTATCGCATGACGACGTCTAAATGCACGTCCAATAGGATCCACTTCCTGTAGACTTTGTCTGACCCTCCAACGTTGAACTCTTAAGCCACGAGATCTCAGACTTCCAAGAATGTATACTTCCCCTGCATTTGGAGTGTTCTGTGTGTGAGCTTGTCTCTGAGACAGGCAGAGTGTGAGAAGGTTGGCATTTTGCCCTTGGCTGATAACATGCCATCATGAGATTTTGTGTGCAGTTGCACCTGGAATTGAAAGTGTAGAAAAACACCTGTTTATAGCAGATTTGAAAGTGTGAGTTTTTCTCGGCTTTAAAAATAACAATACTATATGTTAATAAGCTTATTAGAATAAAAAAGTGAAATGCAGTATAGATAGAAGAATGAGAGAGAGCGAAGAAAGAAAGAAGAATGTTCAGAATAGTGTATTTACTGATGTGCTATGAGCCATTATATTGTCAGCTGAAGTCCTAATAGACGTTTGTTTTTTTTTTCTCAAATGAGAAAAAAATGCATGTGCATAGTATATTGCAAATAGAAATACAAAGTCTAATGTTAGATGCTGCTGCTCTTGGACCGACTCTCACAGGGTATGAAGCTCTACTGAGATGACTGGAACAGTGCAGTGAAGTAATTGCAGTCTTTACACAATAGGCCATTTTCACAGTAGATATTTTGACATGTTATAGCTGGAAAAATACAGGTGTAGCTATTAACATTAAAATGTCTGCAATCCATTCAGCTATGCTGGTTGAAAGGCCTTGGTTATTCAGCAGGCTTGGTGGGACACACACATGGCACAGGGCCATTATTAATGTTAGGTACTCCTGTGCTTTTCCTGTTATAAAGAATTAAAAATGTCAGTTCATGCAGGTGTTCAGCAGATGCAGTTCCTTTTTTTGGGTGAATCGGGAACAATTTGGACTACAGATCTCTACTTAAAAATGGCCCAAGGAAACTTACAGTATCCTGTTGGTATGTCATGTTGGCCCAGTTTATTTATTATCTATTTGTTTTTTTGCAAATACTATTCTTGCACTTACCAAATGTTATCGTTTCTTTATATTAGATGTGGTGTTTATAAAGAATTATTGAATGTCAGTAAAATCTTACTTAAAAGAAACTGCAAATTAAATGTTTTAAAGTATTTTAATGTTACTAAATAACGACAATATATATTTTTCCCCTGCCAAGATCTCAAATATCTGCTCCAATGTTAATGGGTTAATTCAACACAATACTATATTTAGATATATATATATATTATGCTTATTGTTGGGAGATTTATTTGGTTTGATTTAGTGTGGCCCAATTCTAGAGGTTTCTGCTCTTGACACTTGTACTGAAAGACCAAAAATATATTTAACAACTTTTTATGTGGTTTTATGTACCAACATAAAGAAGTGTGGAGCTAGTTAACACTTCACTGCCAGTGTTGCCAACTCCTCAGTAAGGAAAATCGCTATTGGTTGTCCTAAAAGTCGCTGGAAGTCGCTAAATGACGTCATTGCTTAATTTGCATAATTGGTCATGCTAATTAAATTCCAAGATGGCGGCGCGTGAACAACGCGAGGCTCAGTGTCTCTCCAGAATCTGCTATTTAGCGGTTTTTTATCTACTTTTAACCGGATTATTTGTCCAGAATTGCTGTGCGTTCCTGACCTACAGCAGACAAGAGCTTCTGGACATCTGGACTCATAACTCCAACAGTTTTATCGCCGATCTCCGACTCATCCCAGAGATCTCCAGAACACCGGAGGCTGCCCACTCTACCCGGCCGGGCGGAAGTGCACGCAGACGGCGCCGAGATCGTAAACAAAGGCGAGGTAGGCACGGAGGGCTACGGGCTAAGCTAAAGCTAACACCACACCGGCTGCCTTTACCCAGTATTTTCCTCGCCAATGTCCGTTCTCTGGCAAACAAAATGGATGAGATACGGCTCTCCATCACTAACAACAGACGGATTATGGACTCAAATGTCATGTTTTTCACCGAAACATGGTTGAACAACAGCTGCCCGGACAATGCTATCGAGTTAGCAGGACGCCACACACACCGAGCCGACAGGCTAGCAGATGACTCCGGCAAGACCAGAGGTGGAGGTTTGTGCATTTATATTAACAATGCTTGGTGCATGAACTCCACTACTACTGAGAGTCACTGCTCACCTAATGCGGAGTTTTTAATGGTCAAATGCAGACCTTATTATCTCCCCAGAGAACTCACTTCGATCATACTCACTGCCATGTATATACTCCCCGACACTAATGCTAGGTTGGCCATGAAAGAACTTTCTGCAGCCATTAACAAACACCAGAATAAACACCCCGAGGCTGCTTTTATTGTTGCTGGCGACTTCAACCACACCAACTTAAAGACAGTCCTCCCCAGATTCCACCAACATGTCTCCTGCCACACCAGAGGAGACAAGACTTTAGACCATGTGTATTCCAACCTGGCTGGAGCCTACAAAGCCACACCCCTCCCCCACATTGGACAATCGGACCATCTCTCCCTGTTCCTTACACCTAGGTATTCACCACTCATCCAACGTGTGAAACCTGCTGTGAGGACAAT